TCCATTTTCCAATCTACAACACTATGGAAAATCAACGTGAAACCAAAGAAAGCAAGGTGATTTAACATGACTCTCGATCTTCATCTTACAATAACTGATAAATTGATGAAACCCATTTTTCTAATTTGATACAGTATCAAAGGACAAGGATAAAATATCCTTTAGATTTCCTCATGGGAAAATACATTCTTTTATTTAAAACATTTATTTTAAATGAAAGAATTTTATTTAAACAAGTTGCCATTGCCACAGTAGAAGGCATGATCCTACAAGAACATTAGCCTAGCATCAGCCTCAATGCTTACTTGCCACTGTTTAAAAAACACTGAATTAAATATAAAAAGACTGAGACCTGCTACCTGTTCGTGGGTAAGAGTTGGAAATAGTCTAATTCCTTTTTGTCTTGTTGTAATGTTATGCCCTGTTCTTTTTATTCACTAAGGTGTTTAATGATCCCATCCATGGCCACATCGAGTTACATCCACTTCTTGTCAAAATCATAGACACACCCTCAATTCCAGAGACTACGAAACATCAAGCAACTTGGGGGGATTTATTTTGTTTATCCAGGAGCATCTCACAATCGCTTTGAACACTCGATTGGGTATGTCCACTGGTTTTCACACATTTACACCTAATTATAATAAAAATCCAAAACAAGGGACAGACTGCTTTATCAACTTTATATACTTGACATCAGATTTTTTTTACTCTTTTTAGCAGTGTAGTACTGTACCAACTGAAAACAATTAAGCCAACGTTCTAAAAAGTGTGTGTCCTACATTTTACTGTAAAGGGTGGCACATTTAGCAGGTGAGCTTGCAAAAGCTCTGAAGGTGAAGCAGTTGGAGCAGATCAAGCCACTGGAGGAGTTGAAGGAGTTGAAGGAGTTGAAGAAGTTGAAGCCTTTGGAGTTGGAACAGTTGAAGAAATTGCAGAACTTGACGCCTCAGGATTTGAAGGAGCTGCAGGAGTTGATGCCTGAGGATTTGGAGAAGTTGAAGAAATTGCAGAATTCGAAGCCTGAGGATTTGAAGAAGTTGAAGGCCGAGGAGTTGGAGGATTTAAAGAAATTGGTAGAGTTGGAGAACCTTGGTTTTACAAAGTTGGAGGAGTTGAAGAAATTGCAGAACTCCAAGCCTGAGGATTTGGACAAGTTGAAGCCTGAGGATTTGGAGATGTTGCAAAGGTTTAAGCCTAAGGATGTGGAGAAGTTTGAGAAGTTGGAGAGGTTAGATGAGTTGAAGAAATCACTCATCAGTGACCAAGATGTTCTCTGTGTGCAGATTGCCGGTCTTTGTCATGACCTAGGTAAGTAATACACATACTTTTT